CGCCATCATTCAGTACTGAAAACCCACCTCAATAGGGTTGGTCTTCTTCAGGTTGCAGCACTCAGTTGTGATCACGCCACTGCACTCCAGCCTGGGCAACAGAGCGAGACACTGTATCGAAAAACAAACAAAACTGGTCTACCTCCTAAAATAAAACACAGATTATGCAGTTGCTGTTGGTAGGTTTTAGCCTCATTGTTTCTGCTGTGCTTGGTTCAGCTTTGCTTTTGCTTCTTTCTTTAGAGGCAGGTGAAAGTACAGAGTTTAGGGATGTGAAGTGCTCACGGGGATGGACGTCTGATCTCTGGCACTTCCCAGCTGTGTGACCTTGGGCAGCTCACTTCACCTCTCTGGGCTTAGTTCCAGGTTTCTAACAATGTCACCTACTTCAGGAATCAGTCTATGTAAAGCACTAATTTAGAAGTAGCTGCTGGGCTACTCACTGCAGTGGGGCTTTAAGAGGAGCTGCTGAATGGATTTCTAGATTGAGACCTGCAACATTTGGTTTTATTTCCTGCTTATCAGCCACATTCCATCAAGCCCAGGACCAGCCCTTCGTAGGCCTCTGCCCCAGGCTTTCTTTTCAATCTGTGTTCCTCCCAGGATTCCATCTGCCATCATACTTTTGTGTCTGTCCCCAGTCGAATTGCTGTTTTCCAGATAACCTCAGACCTACCCGAATGCCAACAGCATTCCTCAAACAGAGCAGAGCTGCCAGAATAAGCCAGCAGCTTCCTGCTCTTTGCCCCAGAAAACATTTCAAGTGATCAAGTGATCAGAGAGAGGGAGGGAGGCAGGGAGGATGCTGTAGCTGCTTATGCAACAAGCTTTAATCCCAGGTTAAAATCCACCACGCACACCAGCGGCATATTTTATTTCCTCATTGGTTCGTGGAATTAGCTGCATGCCAGATCTGCTACCAACCCCACAGTCCTGTTTGTTCCCCTCCAAGCAGCACCCGCAGAAACAAACAGCATTCCATATGGGATGGTGGTGGAGGGCCGCTGCCCACACAGCTAGGAGGGCGAGCACCGAGCACGCACTGCTTCACTGTGGCCTCCACCTCTCGCCTCCTCCCATTTGGTCTCCCCATGCAGCTTTCTACCTCCAGGAAGAACAGGCCCCTCCCTTCTGGTGAGGCCCAGGCCTGCTGTCCTGAGCGCTGGAGCTTTGTCAGGTTGGGTGGCCATGGAACTGTCCCTCCCTGCAGCTTGGCCTCAGCAGTCTAAAACAGTAACAACAGCAACATCCTGTCCGTTTTCATAAAGCCTGGGTCCTGCCCTGCAGTACAGCGAGTTTCAATTCCCAGCTCGTTCCTGAGCCTGTTTGATAGGAGATTCCCGGCCAGGAAGAATTTATGTACAAGCAGTGGGCATCTGTTGTCCATGTGGGGGTTGGAAGGGCAGGGAAAGCAAGCCATCAGCTCTTCGTTTTCTTTGTGGGAACTGTGTGGGACAAGAAAGCCCACAAGTCCTAATTTTAGGAGGAGAGGGGAGACTTTATTGCTCCAGAGTTATGCCTCCTGGCATATGGCTGCGTTAACTCTGGAAGCTTTCTCCAGCCTCTAAAGAATGGTGTTTATTTAGCTTCTGTGGTTCCAGCTTGCTGTTTTAAAAAATCCTGTTAATTAAGCACCTTGTCATTTAAAATGCTGAAGGAAAGAAAGCAGGAAAACTTGGACATTTTAAGGTCCTTTTCGATCTCTGGGTACAGACCAACTGCAAAGGCAGCTTTAGGGAGGGGACCAGCAAAGACCTCCTAACGCAATTGAAGTGGGTAGAATGATAAGCAGCTCTGAACAACCAGTTAATATTTTACTGGGGAGTGGTGCCAGAGATGGGGGGTGGGGGGGCTGCCAAATGGAGGGCTGTGTGTGAAATCGCTGCTCCATCTGCCTTGGGGGACGAAAAGAAGCCGTTCTCTGTGCAAATAAATGGAAGCAAGAATCCTTAGGAAGCCCAGGGGATTTGTCTGCCCACCGAGGAGGGCCCAACTCCCCCAGGCACACACATACAGGGATGATTGTGGCAGGAAGGGCTGACCTACGGGGGTAGGCCTGACGCATAATGGGGGCTCTTGTTTCCGGGCTGAGCGTGCCATCTTTCTGTCTCCCTCTGGATTGAAATGGCTTCTCAGCCCGAGAGGCACTGCCTGTGCCCTGGATTCACAAGGTACACGCCTCCCTGGGAAGCAAAGGCTGAGAGACAGCAGCTCTCTCTCTCTCTCTGCATCTGCCGGGAGAGCTGCAGCTGGTATTTTTCCACAGGCCTTTGCTGTGATCTCAAGGCCTAGTTTTTCCCAGCCAGGCCCGGAGTCCGAGAGAGGGTTAACAGGCAGGAAGCCGAAGGCATCGCAGGCTAATACGGAAGTCAGATTTGTGTTTAACTGACAGGTTTAGCAGGCCTCGGCCATGGGGGAGGGGCCGGGAGGCAAGGGAAGTTTGTAGATCCAGGCATGTGGCCTGCGAGGAGGGCTTTGGGTTTTTCTTAGGGTAAGGACGGAGAGGGGTCCCCCTTGGCATCGTGGCAGGAACCCACGTTGATTTTGCACGCAGGACTGGCTAAGCAGGGCGAGAGGCCCACGGCTCTCTGGCCTGCCTTGCAAGGAGGCATGGGGACAATGACTATGCAAACTTGACCACTCTGCTCCCCTCCTCCCCTCAGCAGCTACTCCTCGCTCCTCAGAGAAGGCAGGGCTGCTCTCTGCTGATTTTTCGTGGCTCCCCCGGTCTGCCTGCTTCCCCAGCTCCTCAGAGGCCTGCCTCAAGCCCCTTTTTCTGGCCCCCTTGGCTGTTTCCGTGGGACTCCCCATTCCCCAGCTTCCCCTTCCCCTTGGAGAGCCACCCTGCTGGACTGTTCTAGAAAACGGCCGGCCTTCCTCCCTGGACAAGGGCCGTTTCTCTGGGGGCAGGTGAGGGTGAGCCTTTCCAGCCCACTCCAAGAAACTCCCTTCCCAGGGGCCTCCAGTCCTCAGGCTTCCCTGGAGCAGGTCAGGCTGGCTGCCCTGGCTGGCCCGTGCCGGGAAATCTAGCCAGGGTGCAGGAGAAGTGCGTGTGGGGGCCCCTTTCCCAAGTTTTTCTTGCTGCAAAAGGCCTAGCTTAGCCTGTCTTTTTCTATGCACAGGATGGCTCTTGCTCACCCGAGCCTCACAAAGATAATCGCTCAGGAAGTGTTTCAGCCAATCCGGGGCGGCTTTACACTCCGATTTGCCAGGGCAGCCAATCGGGGATGAGCTTTTATTAGGCGGCCAGATCATCAGCCGAAGTGCCAAACCCTTTTTCTGTGAGAACTAGGAGCCTGTCCTCCATGTTTTATAAGTATTGACATTACACAGTGTTAACAATGCATCCACAGAGGTAAGCTCGACTTTTTAACCATCTTTTTTCCCCCTCCCTCTGAGACATCCGAATTGTGGGCGAGCAGTGTGATTTCTCTGTGGCTGGCCGTGCCACACTCACCCCCAGAGCACTTATGTTAACTTGGAACTGTTTAGAGAGAATTTTTTTGCTTTCTTGGGTCACATGGCTCAGTAGCCATTAGCCATAGCTTGATTTTGCAAACTGGCAAGGGCCTGGCACACCTTTCCTTCCACCAGGGCATGGTGTTTCTGGAAGAGTTTGAAGCTAGATCCTGGTATGCCAAAAAAGAAGCTTTTTTTTTTTTTTTTTTTTCTTCTTCTTTTTTCTTTCCCTCTTCCCTCCCCCTCCCCCCCCCCCCCTTTCTGAGCATCCCCCCCCCCCCCCCGCACTATTGTCTTCTCTTTTGCCACATGCCCTGCTGGGGGAAGAAAATGGAAGGTAAGCAAACAGGCTCCTCTCCAAGGAGAGCTCATGGCAGACAGCAGAGCAGGCAAGTTTGCCTCTCCAAAGAGGTTCTGGGAAGGCTGGATAAGTTTTGACAAGAGAGGAGCATGTTTGCAAAAGAATTGAACCCTCAGCAGAGCAGTGCTAAGGAGAGTCTAGCTCCTGGGGCCTAGGTGGGTGGTGGTGTCTGTACACGGTCTTCTCTTATTCTACAGAGCTTCTGCACTTGAAACTACATTGTTCAGCCTGTTTTCCTGACTTAGGTTGCTACAGAGTGTTCTGCAAGCCAGTCTACAGCCAGCAAATGTTTCTGAAAGTGTTTTCGAGGTTTTGGAGGAAGTTTTTGGAGTAGGGATGGGGACTGGGGGGTGTGGGGAGAGAGATCTTGGACAACATCCTGCAAAAAAAAAAAAAAAAAAAAGAAAAAAATCTGCAAGGATTCTGAATCCCTTAGTTTTCTACTCTTGCATGATTTTCAAGGAACTAATGTTACCTTTTATCCTTGTTTTCATTTTCCTGTCCCTTTTATACATTGTATCCTCCTCTCTTCTCCTGTGTGATGGAGTGTAGAGGAAATAAAATCATGTCTGTGGCTCATGACAGCATTCCATATTCAGTTGTTGGGTTGTGTTGTTGTTGTTGTTGTGTGTTTTTAATAATACCATGTAACTGTTTAAAAAAATTTCCTTTTTGATCAAGTCCCAAATCTGCCAGCCTGTTCTCTCTTCCTAACTGTGGAAAAATGAGACGGTTGCTTGAACATTTGTTGGGTAAGTAAAGCAATCCATTTCCTCTGTGACCATGTTTGAAGAGTTTTGTGAACATTTGGGGTCTGTTTGTAATAGGGGGTCTTGGCTGCAGGAGTTGGGGGCTTCATTAGCAGGAACAAAATAAGGGCTTTTTAAAGAGTGTCTTGATTTTAGGTGACTGTTTGAATCCACTGTTTTTCCTGATAACCTGCAGCTAGGATTGAAGATTATACTTCCTGTTTACCCTGAGTCAGGGGAGAAGTGTTTAGTTCATTGTGACTTGACTCTAGACCTTTAATGGGGTTTGTTTGGATATTCAAACTGTGAGTAGGTGATGTGCTTGTGAAATGTAATGAAACTGCTTGTTCTTAGAGTTGCAGAGCCCTAAAAACATTGGTGGGGCAGAAGCTGGTGGTGGTGGTGGTGGTGGTATGTGTGTGCTGGGGGGTGGTGGTGTCAGTGTGCTCATGCTTTAGGACTTATGTATAGTGCAAAATCTCATCTGCCACCAGACTGGGTTTGATTCAGGACTCACTGACCAACACATTTTGGCCTTTTTTCAGGTCTCATCCACACATCTGTATGCATGCTGACCCCACATAAGATTTGTCACTTTTTACATTTCCCTTGACCTCTTAAGGCTGCAGCTAGAAGTTAAGTGGGAAAAGTAGAGTCTTGTTTAGCATTACCTTTAGAATTTCCCTAGAAGTTCAGTACGTAAATTTTCAGCTTGGAGACCAATCTGACATGACTGTAAATGCAGGAAATATATTCAATTGCTGTGTTATGTCAACTTTATGGAGTCAGTAATCTTTTTTCTTTCAAATGAGTGTCCAGTAGCCCACTTTCTGACACCAAATTGGAAAAAGGCTCATTTAATCAGGAGAAACGTTTCGTACCACATTCTAAGTTGAAAAAAGTCTGTGCAAGGCGGGCCAGCTTAGCTTCTTAAGAGTAAAACTGCAGGCAGTTAATGATGTTACATACTTGAAACTGAACAGTGCCACTGCCCCAAACAAGTAAGTTTAGACACTCAGCTATTTTCTTTGTTCTTATCTCCTTGCTGTAAATGGAAATTACATATTGAAGTTCTTGTGGCCTCCCTAGAAGCAGTGTCTAATCATAAGACTCCTGGTTTGGTGCCTTCAACGTTTGCATAATACTGTGTGTGTTGGGCTGGAAGGGAACTTAAGGGCAAGGCGTTTGTCCTCTAAAAGCTTGCATTAAAATGGCTCCCACAGGTTTGGAGAGCCAAGATCTGTTTTCAGATGTACAGCCCCCAGCAAGTTACCAACACTGGACCAAGCTAGCCACTTTTCCTCTGGTACTGTGACCCCTACCAAGCATGAGTCTGTAAAAAGTTAATTGCTTTCAAAGTAGCGTTATTTTCCAGTTTAAGGAAAGGGGAAAAAAATGTCTGCATTGCAGCAGGACTAGGTAGGGACGGCAGTACTGGCTCCCAGAGCAGCCCAATGGGGTTCTTCTACTCTAGCTTTTAAACCAATAGACTTGGAGGAAAGGTTAAAGATTGACAATTACAGTGGCCGAACTAAGAACGGGCCTTCTGGAAATTTCTACCATCTTTGTTCCTTTTAGGAAAAGCGGATCTGCCAAACAGAAGAGTCTCCTACCTTCCATTCCTAGGTCATCTCCCTTCCCTTCTTCCCCCCAACCCCCCTTCTTTTTCTCATCAAGGTAGAATGTTCTCTCTGCCACGTTTGTAAATTGCAGAGGGAGGAACAGAATGTTGGGCTGTTTTCCTTTCTCCTTCTGCCTCCTCAGTCCCCAAAGAGGATACACAGCTGCAAGGAGCAAACACAGACACACTGAAGCTTTTGATTCTTCTTTTTTTTTCCTTCAAGACCCTCCAGGATGGATTCACTTTCTGCTTTGGGAAATTAAGTGGCATTCACGTGGGGGAGGGGGAGTAACTGCTTTTATTAGCTCCAGAAAATGGTCAGTGTTCAGTCTGTAACTAGGAATTAATTATATATAATCACTCAGTAAACTTTCTACAGAGTTTTTCTAATTGCTGAGCCTGATCATAGTTAGCCCGTTGGCGCCAAGTCCAGTTACTTTTATAATTAACAGCTCAAAGATTTGAGTCAGAAAGAAACAATTGGGGGCCTCTTGGATTATAAATTAGGGATGAAAACAATAGCTTTTTTTCCTTTCTTTCTTGTAACCCCTTTTATTTTAAACAAAACATTCCCCCTTTTCTTTCCCTGGGAGAACCAGTGGGGAGACTGCATCAGGTCTTAAATATGAGGACGGGAGACACTTTTTGGGAAGTGGGGTGACAGTAACCTAGAAAACCCTGAGGCAAAGGTAGGTTTTTAAAAGTCCAGCCACTTCCAATGTGTGATGTCTTTGTTCTTTTGCCCTCTTTCCCCTTCTCTCTCCTGTGGCAGAGGCAGCAGACATTTGTCAGCCTGGGAACCCTCAATCTGGCTTTGCCTCTGGTTGACTCTGGAAAGAAAGATACATTCAAAGGGGCCTTCGCTACTGAACAGCAGAGGTTTAAAAAGGGAATGTTTCGAAGCCTTTGGTTACTCTTAAAATGCAAAATCTGAGCAAGGGTTCACCCTTCGCTCAGGTTGCTAAGATTATGGTTGCCCTCCCCCCCTACTTCCCACTCTCCTTGCAGACAAACAAGCAGGCAGTGGCCATGCCAGCTCTGCAGCCAGTGTGCTGCCAGCCTGCCCCCCCCATCCTGATTACCTACCTACCAGCCGACGGGGGCCACTGGCCTGTCCTTGCCCTGGCATGGCCTTGGGCACTGTGCCCTCCTTTCTCCCCTGGAGCTAAAAAGCAGTCACCTTGAAACTCCTCACTCCCAGCACCAGAGGAGTTCTGAGGCCAATGCTCAGACCTGTAACAGTAAATGACGTTATCCACTCAGGCTGTTAGTTCGGCCTCTGAAAGCGGGTTTTGCAAAACCCATTGTTAATTCTCAGGCTCTGTTGGGGGTGGTCAGAAATCTAATTTGTGAGTATCCTGTGCATTGGATAAGGGAATGTTTTCCTTGTGTTTCTCCTCTGCAGACTGGGATTGTCTTTCCTTGATGTTAACTGTCTTAGGACTGGCTGCTTCAGAGGGCTGGGTATTTGGTGGCTGTTTGCAAGCTTATAAACAGCCTTTTTATTTTACCTTGGCTGTAGACTGAGGTGCAGCCCTTTAGCTTGGCTTTTCAGATGCCTGCTGTCCTTGAAGCACTTTCATTTTACCTAGCACCTTTTTGGTATGGATGCAAAGCTGGTTTCTAATAGACTGAGAAGAGAAGGGGGACCGAGCTTCCTCCTCGCCTCCCCCCAGCCTGCTCACTGGGAACATTTTTGTGTTTGCACAGACACCTGTCCGTCTGCAGTCTGTGCCACGGGGCTGCACAATTCCTAACCTTCTACCCACCTACTTCGAGGGCAAGGGGGCCTCATCACAGAGCCTCATGTTGAAAGCTCAGGATCTACAAGAGAAGGCTTTTCCTTAGGAACCTGTGACTTCACAAACTCTCCCTGTCATTGCAGAGTTTTTTTTAAGCTTCTAAACGTTGGGTTGTTGGTGTCCTTTGGTTCAGCTTTTCCTAGTTCTGGTATTTAGGAAGGTGGCTTTGAAACTAGCAGGGCTGCTTAAACAAGAGCTACAGCTATTGAACAAACTGCTACCATTTTAGCTTCAACACAGGAATGAGGCAGTGTTGCCAGACGCCATTTTAAGAATCCTGCATAAATAGCTTAGCTACCGATGACTCTGCCTGTTTTAGGTGAGTGCTTATATAAAGCTGCTCTGCTAACCATTCCCCCCCACCCCAATTTCTTAAAAAATTAATTGCAGATTTAGGGAAGCATGGTTTTTAATTTTGATGTTCACTATTTTATAATCTAGAAGAGGAAGATGTTATGCCTTGGGGATTAAATATTTCTTACAGCCTGGACCATTTTGGTATTTTGAATGAAAGTAAAAACCTGGAAAAGTCCTTTCGAATGATGCATGATTCTTGAATTGCTGTGCGATGATCCTCATCTGTAGAACCAGAGTCTTGTGCATGTTGGTTATATGTTCTAGATGGCTTAGATATTCTTCTTTAAAAGTCAAATAGTAGGGGCACTTGGGGAAAAGAAATATGTGGGCATTGTGTATCCAGGCATTTTTCTGTCAAAACTAGATGCTTGCTTTTTTCTCTCTCTTGGAAGTGTTGAGGAGATGAGATTCCTGGGAATTACGGACCATCCCTGAGTCCTCAGAATTAATAATCAGAAAGCTTAAAGCATCCTGGAGGTGCAGTAGTTCATCTGCAACTTTTAATTGCTCTTTTTTCAGTGCATGCAGGTTAAGAAGTAAGCATAGGTTTTCTTGCTCAGGCATTGGGAAAGAAATCTTTTATTCTTTCTGGGATGGGATGGGGTGGTCTTGGTTATCTTTGCAGGTACTGTTATTTCTTTGAATTGCCTGAAATGTATCAGTTTGTGAAATCTACAGGCAAATGACTTGGGTAAATGTGAGTGTAAGAGGTGGTGGTGTATACAATGTATCTAACTAGTTGATGGTATATTTTCCTATTGGAGTGAGAAATTGTTTGCTTTTCAGCTAATTTTACCCTTTTTCTTTAGCGGGCCCCCAGTTTCCTCAACAGACCTTTAAAGGGAGAAAAGTAATGTCAGTTTGAAACAAGAGCTTGTTGTCCCATTGTTTTTGATTTAAATCATCAGGGTCGCTGGAAGCTAGCAGATATGGAAGGAAATAAGCTGCCTATGTTCTAAGACTTCAATGTATTAATGACAGAAGTTCAAAGTATTTTCTCAAGATGCAGCTGCCTTTTCTTTTTAACAATTATTTGACTGTTTTTCTTCCCCCAAATGACTGAACAGTTCTTAACCGAAATTGACCAACATCAGTGGGGCAATTCAGACAGGTACAGATCTTTTCTTGCCACTACTTTTGATGTAATATTCATGTTTTTTTTTCCTAATAACATACTAGTTCTTAACACTAAACCAAAAAAAAAAAAACAACAACAACAAAAAAAACAAAAAACACACACACAAAAACCGAAATCAGTGGCATAGGAAAAAGGAAGTCCCTTTAGATGTGGCTATTCAAAATGACTAATTTTGCATTCTGGTCTTTGCTTTTGTAAATGAAGTTTTTTTTTTTTTTTTCCTCCCTCCTTTTAATGCATAGACACTGCAGTTTCCTTTAGCCAAATACAAGTTATTGTGTGCGTGCATGTGTGTGCATGGGTTCCTTTTGAAAGGATGGTTTGCTGATCTGTGAAAAAGATGGTTTTCTTAAATTGTTGTGCTTGAAATCTTGTGCTAAAGCTGGTGGTGCTATTGCTAAAGTTGGGTGATTATGGTGCCCACTTGTAATGCTTGGAAAGATAAAACAACTTAACTTTTTTTTCCCTCTCTCTTCTGCTCCAGCATTGATTATCTTAAAACTCAGAGGCAAATACCCACCACATAACTAGTTTGCATTTTCCTCGTCTCTCAGCAGCATTCCTGCCTGAAGTATTCAGCTCCTCTAGGCTGTTACAAGCCAAATAATTGTTCCCTTGAATGCAGCCTTCCTCCATGATCAATACACCTTTGAATGTTTTCATCGCTGCAGAAATCCTTCGAGTGGGTTTTTTGGGCTCAGTTCTGCATAATTGTTTCCCTCACCACTGTAGATTTCAGTTGGATCACAGATTAGCGTTTTCTCTATTACTCAAAATATGGGATCAGTTTCAAGAAGTTTAGAATTTCACATACTTCATGCTAGAGAGGGAAACAGAATTCTAGTTGCTAGAAAAGATCAAGGTTGCTATTTGTTCCTTTGAAGTGAACTGTCTACCCATCTCCGAGGGCTGCATGGGGCTTTTTGTTAAGATGTATTTCCAGTCACCCCAAGCCAGAACCCATCAACAGCATCCAGTTGGACAACCTGTGCATGTTTCAGGCGGAGTGTGTTTCTGAGTTGAGAATGTTTTCTCCTTAAGTTGGAATAGAAAGCATTAGTGCTGAAATCACCTTCAATAAATCACTGTTGTATTATTGCATATAAGTGATGTGTTTAAATTTAGCAGGCTGCTTTCTCCTGATGAAAACCATTTGTGGCAACATGTCGGTTGTTTCTTTGGTGATTTGTGTCGCAGGCTTTCTTTACAGATGCTGTGTAAATGAAATTGTTAACGGGGCTCAGCATCAGAGTGCTAAATGTGTGAATATTCTCATTTAAAACCAGCTACCTTTCTTCATCTCCAAGCTCCTATAATTTAACTCTGAACTATAATCGTTTCCTTTCTATCTAGCTCCCATCCCAAATCCTCTCCTCCTAACATGGAACTCTCCTAAAATCTTCCCCTTATACTAGGGTTTGAGACATGAGGCTGTCTTTTTGGGCCTTTTGCGTTGTCACAGTCCCAGACCACGGAACACAAACAGGACATTCTCTTTTCCCCAGCCTCCTTCCTGTCCTGGCTTTGAGTCTTCCAAATGGAAAATTCCAGCCATATCAATTGGTGATGCACCCATTTCTTCCTGTGGAACCACAGTCTGATGGAATTGCTTCTGGAGTAAATGCCCGGCTTCAGTGTCAGCCTGAATGTTCGGAAAGTTCTAGCACCTCAAACCATTTGCATCTATGAAAAGCATAACTCTATTTTTTTTCCTTTGGTTTAGCTTGTGAGTTCTCTGTAGGAGGAAGATCTCATATGGCCGGCTCTCTTTCAACTCCAGTTCCAGCAGAGAGAGAGAGAATGTTCTGGGTGACAGACCCTCCCAGCCAAGGGGCTTGCTTTATTTGCTTCTCTCCCCAACCCTCCACTCTTAGCCTTTGTCTTTTGAATAATCCTTCCTCATTCCACTTTTGTGGTGGGGGATAATTAGTCACAACTCAGTAGTAAGCCGTGCCTGCTGTAGAGAGGAAGCATTCAGGGTGTTGGAAGTGTGGAGACCCCGGTCTGATTCCTGGAATCAGTGCTCCTCGGTTCAGTGTTTTGAGACCAGGTCTTTAGCTTCTAGCTGGGCATGTTCTTCTGCTTTGTAATTTAACCTATATCTTTTTTTTTTTTTTTTTTTTTTCATGTTCCTGCCTCATCAGGGAATTGTAAGGTTTAGGGGGAGGTGTGGGAAATCTTACTCTTTGCCCTAAAGTATTCAGAGATCAGAATTCTGGATACCCTGCAGAACCCCTCCAACCTCCCTGCCTTTGAACCCTGTGTTAACAATGAGAAGCTTGTTTATTTGAAAGCTGGGTTCTCGTTGGCCCACAGGGGTAGGTTGTAATTGTGTGTCTAAAAAATTGCCTTTTGCATTCCCCAATAGCATGACAACTGGAATAGTAATTTGACTTAAAAAAAAAAAAAAAAACCAAAAAAAAACAACCTAGTGTCTTAAAAAACTCCTTTAGGACTCTTCACACTTTGTTGAAATCAGGTGTGGGTTTCCTTCCCCAAGCCCTGGATAAGGATGAGGGAATGCCTTTAAGGTGGGTTTGTTGCTAAAACTTCCCAATAGCTGCCCCCATGGGGCCAGTTCTCAGCCTTCCTAAACATGAACATAATTTGCTCTGTTTCAGCTTGGCTGAAGAGGAAATAAAAACAGAACAGGAGGTGGTAGAGGGCATGGATATCTCTACTCGCTCCAAAGGTGAGTAAAAATCTTGGTTTATCTATTCTAGAGCTAAGGAGGAAATTGGAATTTCTTTTTGTTGTTGTAGAGCAGTGAAGTGTGGCTCTCTGAGCCGACGTTGTAACTCTTCTTGGATTTTCAGATATAAGATTCTTTGATGGATGAACTTAATTTATGGAGAACTCTCCTCCTTTTGGTTTTCTTTCCCTGGTGTCTGTGTCAGTGTCCTGACAGTGAATTTTACCTGTGTGTCATGACGGAGGGTGGCTGGCTACCTCTTCGCAGGGTGACTTTCAGAAGCCACGGTTTAAATAAAGCATGTTCTGGAAGCCACCAGAGCCTCTAGCTGCCGCTTGTTTTCTGATTTTAACAACAGGCCTCTGGAATCCCAGAAGTGGGATGAAGTCAGCCTGCTTCATTGGAAAGTGGTGGTCTTGGGTTAGAGATAAAAAGCAAGTGTAGAGCTTGCTGGGATGCCGGGGCCAGTGTTTGCATTTAGTTCAAAATTTAGCAAATCAGGGCAAACACAATTTATGGGTTTATTCACAAGCCTAGAGTAGACTCCTGAATATCTTCTAATTGAGGGATTGGTACTTTTCATTTGGTCTGTGTGAAAGAGGTTTTATGAGGCTTCCCAAAAGGAAGCAGTTATTCACTTTTACCTTCAGGGTGCTTTTACAAATGAGCTGCTGGAGTGTTTTTCGTATCTTTGGTTGATGAAAAGGCTCATCTCCAAACTTAATGGTTGTACCAAGGTGTTTTCATTCCTTCAACACGTCACTGTGTGCTTGCTTGGAACACACAGCCTTGCACTGGGGGTTATGGGGAGGGAGGAAGAGGCTGGACAGGGTTACTGCAGACTACCGGAAGGAGGTTCTCATATGGCTGCAGAGTGTTGCACAAAGGGACTCCCTAAAGGCATCTGAAACCAAAAGCATTTTGAGGATTGTTTTAAGACAGCGTGTCGCCGGGCATGGTGGCTCATGCCTATAATCCCAGCACTTTGGGAGGCCAAGGTGGGCGATCACGAGGTCACGCGTTCGAGACCAGCCTGGCCAACATGGTGAAATCCCCGTCTCTACTAAAATACAAAAATTAGCCGGGCATGGTGGCACACACCTGTAATCCTAGCTACTTAGGAGGTTGAGGCAGGAGAATCACTTGAGCCCGGGAGGCGGAGGTTGCAGTGAGCTGAGATCGTGCCACTGCGCTCCAGCCTGGGTGACAGAGCAAGATGCCATCTCAAAAAACAACAAAAAAAAGACAGCATGTCATTTTGGGGCAAAGTTGGGGGTCCAGTAGTCAAGGCTGGGACCCGGGAAGTGGGAGCTGACTGCTGGTCTCCGGCAGCGGTCACAGGAGGGGAGGCACCCCAGGTGGGAAGGCCTGGCTTACTGGGTGGGTGCTTTATGCTGGGGAGCAGCAGGAGGAGGCTGGGTGGAGGCAGAGGGCTGCTGCCCCCTCATCACAGCGCGACCCAGCCTGTGCGGGGTGGCAGGAGGTTTCAGATCCATTGATGGTGAAGAGAGCTGAGCCACCACGGACTTCAGAGCAAGGAAGGTACCTTCTCGCAGAGGTGTTTTTGATGTTGCGGGAGCGCGAGCCTCTCAGCCACTTCTCAGCCGCCTTGTTGTGGTCAGAATCAAATGTGGTCCAGCAGGAGACAGGGACTGAAGAGAGGGGTCCAGGAGGTGGAGGTCTTGTCCCTGTTCTGCTGCTTACCTTCCCCAGGGGGCTTGGACACTGGCTTTGTCCCTTCATTTTTGTACTTGTGATGTGGGGTGTTGGATTAGATTCTATCCAAGCATGACCAAGATGAGTGACCGTTGTCTCTTTCTCTCTTCTCTCCTCCACTCCCCTCAGCAGCCAGGACACGCTTCAAAAACGTGAATTGGGGTCAGGCACAGTGGCGCATGCCAATCATCCCAGCTACTTCAGAGACTGAGGTGGGAGGATCAGTTGAGGCCAGGAGTTCCAAACCAGCCTGGGCAACTTAATGAGACCCCCCCCGACCCCCATCTCTGTTAAAAAAAAAAAAAAGTGGGCTGAGTGCGGTGGCTCACACCTGTAATCCTAGCACTTTGGGAGGCTGAGGCGGATGGATTGCTGGATCTCAGGAGTTCGAGACCAGCCTGGGCAACACGGTGAAACCTTGTCTCTACTAAAATATGAAAAAATTAGATGGGCGTGGTGGCATGTGCCTATAATCCCAGTTACTTGGGAGGCTGAAGCGGAAGAATTGCTTGAACCTAGGAGGCGGAGGTTGCAGTGAGCCAAGATCACACCTATGCATTCCAGCCTGGGGGACAGAGCGAGACTCCGGCTCAAAAAAAAAGAGTGGATCGGGTTCTGTCTCGTTTTGCTAACTCCTTCCGATGACTTTCCAGTACCCTTCCACTCAGGTCTGAAGTCACCGTGACCTGCCTACCTGGGCCAGCCCTGTTTACCTTTGTTTCCTTTGTGACGTTCTCTTCTCTTTGTGCCATTTCTTCACTTGAGCTCCTTGGCCTCCTTCCTCTTGGTTCCTTCCTTGGGGCCCCTGTGTGTCTTTTGCCGGGAGCAGGCTGCCCATTTCTTATTGTGATCTCAGGCTTATCTCAGATGGTGGCTCCTCAAGGAGGCTTTTGGTGGCCACCTAGTCTGAAGGTGTCATTTTGTCATTTTCTGTTTTATATATATATTTTTTCTCTTTAAAGACAACGTCTTATTCCATTATCCTGGCTAGAGTGCACTGGTATGATCATAGCCCACTGTATCCTTGATATCCTGGGCTCAAAGCTCACTGTAGCCTCAATCTCCTGGGCTCAAGCTATCTTCCCACCTCAGCCTCCTGAGTACTGGGACTACAGGTGCACGCCACCTCACCTGGCTAATTAAAAAAAATTTTTTTTTGTAGGGATGAGGTCGCGGTGGGTTGCCCAGGCTGGTCTGAAACTCTTGGCCTCAAGTGATCCTCTCTCTTTAACTTCCCAAAGTGCTGGGATTATAGGCATGTGCCACCATATCTGGCCAATTTTCTATGTTTTTAAAATGAACTTTTAATGTGAGAGTAGTATTAGATTTCCAGAGAAATTTTGAGGATAGTGCCAAGAGTTCCCATGTTAGCCCCTGGCTCCACACACACAATTTCTTCTATTATTAACATCATACACTAGTGTGGTGTAATTGTCACAAATAATGCATCAATTTTGATATGTTATTACCAACTAAAGGCTATCCCTTATTCAGATTTCCTTCAGTTTTCCGCGAAAGTCCGTTTTCTGTTCTAGAATCCCACTCAGGATTCCTTGTTACATTTAGTTGTCTGCCTGGGTTCCTGTTGGCTGTGACAGTTTCTTAGACTTTTCTTGTTTTTGTTGAACTTACCGGTTTTCAGGAATACTGGTCAGGCATTTTGTAGATGTCCTCTCAGTTGGGATTTTTATGATGTGCTTCTCGTGATTAGACTGGTAAACAGTGATTATGGGTTTTGGGGAGGAAGAAGACTACATAGGGTAAAATGCCATTTTCATCATATCACATCAAGGGTATGTGTTATTAATAAGAGCTATCGCTGTTGGCCCAGCGCAGTGGCTCACACCTGTAATCCCAGGACTTTGGGAGGCCAAGGCGGGAGGATCATCTGAGGTCAAGAGTTTGAGACCAGCCTGGCCAACATGGTGAAACCCTGCCTCTACTAAAAATGTAAAAATTAGCTGGGTGTGGTGGCAGGCACCTCTCTACTTGGGAGGCAGAGGCAGGATAATCACTTGAACCCAGGGTGGAGGGTGTGGAGGCGGAGGTTGAAGTGAGCCAAGACTGTGCCACTGCACTCCAGTCTGGGAAATAGAATGAGACTGTCTCAAAAAGAAAGAAAAAAAAGATTTATCACTGTTGATATTGACCATGACCATCTGTCTGTGGTAGAGCTTTCTTCTCTTTCCATCCTTTGCTCTTTGGAAGGAAGTCACACAGTGTCACCCACACTTAAAGAGTGAAGAGCTATGCTTCACCTCCTTGAAAGCAGAGGCTTGACATAAATTATTTTGGGGCCGGGCGTGGTGGCTCATACCTGTAATCCCAGCACTTTGGGAGGCCGAGGTGGGCAGATCACTTGAGACCAGGAGTTGGAGACCAGCCTGGCCAACATGGCAAAATTCCATCTCTACTAAAAATACAAACATCGTATGCCTATAATCCCAGCTACTTGGGAGACTGATGCAGAAAAATCACTTGAACCCAAGAGGTGGAGGTTGCAGTGAGCCGAGATTCCACGACTGCACTCCAGCCTGGGTGACAGTGAGACTCTTGTCTCAAAAAAAATAAATAAAAAATAAAATAAAATAAAATAAAAATTTAGAATTCTTCTGTATGGGGTATTGGTCTCTTCTTCCTTATGTATTTATTCAGTCATTTATCTCCATCAGTGTGGACTCTGGGATGGTTACTTTATACTGTGGGTTGTAATCCAGTACTACTTATTTATTTTATTGTTCAAATAATTCCAGCTTTGGCAGTTGGGAGCTCTTTCTGTTGGCTCTTGTGTCCCCTTGACAGACTCCATCGTTGTGGGGTTTATTTGTTCGTTTGAGACAGCCTCGTTCTGCTGCCCAGGCTGGAGTGCAGTGGTGCAATCACAGCTTATCGCAGCCTTGACCTGCTGGGCTCAAGCAGTCCTCTTGCCTCAGCCTCCCCAGTAGCTGGAACCACAGGCATGCATCACCACAGTTGGCTTTTTTTTGTTCTTTTTATTTGTAGAGATGGAGTCTCGCTGTGTTGTCCAGGCTGGTTTTGAATTTCCCAGACTCAAGTGATCCTATCACTTTGGCCTCCCATAGGGTTGCAGGTGTGAACCACCATGCCAGGCCAGCCTATCGAGCACTTGCTTTTTTCTTTTCTTTTTTTTTTTTTGAGACGGAGTCTTGCTCTGTCACCCAGGCTGGAGTGCAATGGCACAATCTCAGCTCACTGCAAGCTCCGCCTCTCAGGTTCACGCCATTCTCCTGCCTTGGCTTCCCGAGTAGCTGAGACTACAGGCG